ATGCGGGGCACCTCAGGCACGAGGGGGAAACCCCTGTATTCGCAGGTTGGGGCTGAGATTTTGCCGCGCCCCTTAAAAATTTTTGCGGGCTAGCCGCGTTTGCGGGGTCTGTTCGGGCGGGATTTTCCGCGTCGACCCACATTTTGGCGGTTATTTTGCGGATCGGGGCTTTTTGCGGAGTCTGCTAAATTGCTCTTAGTGGGGTAGAGCGCCTCGGCACTTGCAATCAAGGTCATCGAAATCGTGATTCTCTATCATATGGTTCTACTACTTTCCATCTAAATTGCTTGGACACGTTCTACGATTCTAGCCAACCAAATCCATGATTTTACTATTGTAATAGATATGATTCGTAAGATAAACGATCTTACCACATAGGCTCGGTCCAATTCAAAATCGCAATTCCGACTACCTCTTGCAGAACTTACATTACTTCGTCAACTGAAAACCATAAAAACGTGGGCTCAATACTTTGTGTCATGCCTCTCCATATATAAGTAATTAAGCTAAAGTAGTGGCAACATGCATGGTAGATTATGCAGAAACAGAAGTAGTTCCAAAGAGACTTGCCGACGAATTTGGGCAGGCCACACCTAGCAAAAGGTTAAGATGAATAACTATACCGAACTAAGTGCATGTTGGTCTTGGAAAGAAAAGATAAGAAATATATTCTACTTCAAGCCGGCGATCAAGTGGAACCTCCAATTCACGAAATTCAGCGTCATCGGTGACTTGATCGGTTCAAACTAATTAAATTAAGGTACATTAATTTAATTGAAGGTACATATCCTCAAAGAAATAAAATTAAGGTACATGTTCGCTAGTGAGAACTGAAAGCAACTGATATGACTGGTGGCTGTGAGAAATTAACTGAAGAATGGTCCAGGTGGAATGTACTACGTTACTTCCAGAGTTCTTTTTTCCAAGTGGAAATAGAACAAGCAGCTAGTGAGTAACAGATTTATCCACACAAGATGGAACAATTTGTCAAAGTAATACAATATTTTTCCTAGAAATTAAGACCAAGTGAATGATTCAAGAAAGAAATTAATTAAGTCTGATTGGTGCGTCGATCGTGTCAAATTAAGTAATGCAAGTATTGACCAGTGCGAAATCAGCTGAAAAAAAGGTCCCACTCCCTTCTTTTCTCCAAGTGGCCGATCCGAATCCGGTAGTGATTTGCTGATGCATAACGCACTTTGCTCAGAGATCATCGATCTGGCCGAAGAAAAACAAGACAAGAAGCTCCAGTAGGCCGTTAGCTTCCCATGCATGGCGACCATCGGCGTCGTCGTCCTCCTGCTCCTCCTACTCGCCCCGACACCGTATCTGGCGGCCGCCGATTTCTGCGACAACGTCAAGGCCGCCGGCGCCGCGCTCTCCCGAAACGCCTCCTCTTCCCCGGTACAGTTTGCCACGGCCACCATCGGCCAGGCCCCCGACGTGGTCTACGCGCTGGCGCTCTGCCTCGGCAACGTCCTCGACAGCTCCGCCTGCGGCGCCTGCATCGCCGACTGGTTCGCCACCGTAAACCAGACGCAGTGCGACAAGGTGGGCTTCAGCTACCGCGACTGCATCGTCGTGTACGGCGCCGGCGCCGACATCCTGGCGGCGCCCTCGAACGCCACGGGGGGATCCGGCGACAACACGCCGCCCTTCCAGGATTGGAACATCAGGAACGTCACCGCGGACGACGCCCCCCGCATCGTCAACCTCACCTTCGAGCTGCTGGCGAAGACCGCGGTGATGGCGGCCACCACGACGCCCAAGTTGTACGCCACCGGTATCATGGACATGAAAAGAGTGACAACCGACGTGTACTCCCAGGTGCAGTGCACGCCGGACCTGTCCGCCGACGACTGCTCGGCGTGCCTGCGCCGCCTCCTCGGCATGGTCAACTCCACCATGGCCCTGCGCATGGGTGGGCGGATGGGTGTCACGCGGTGCTTTTTCAGGTACGAGGCGTTTCCTTTGTACGGCGCCCGGCCCATGCTAAGCCTGCCGTTGTCGCCGCCCGGGCCGGCTCCGACGACTCCGACCAAACGCAGGAGCATGCTGTGGGTGATTCCCGTAGCTGTAGTTCCTCTAACGGCAGCAGCGTTTTTCTTCTTCATCTGTTACCGTCGACGGCTAAAAAGGCAAAGAAAAGGTACATATGCTATTTTTCTAGTGGATTCGTTCTTTCATATAATCTTCACAAATAGTGGTAAATTGGTGATTATATTACTGCTATGATATTTGATGGCAATAATGTTACTCAAGGATCAAGACGTGCTCACAGTTTGGAGTGGCAAGGAAAAAATTCGGATTTCTCTTTGTTTGAGTTTGAACATCTACTAGAGGCCACAAGAAATTTTTCGGAAGAAAGCAAACTTGGGCAAGGTGGCTTCGGCGCTGTCTACAAGGTAAATTAGTAGTAGAGGCCACTTTTTTTGTCAACTGTTTAGTAGAAGCCTAATATGGTCCCTTGTACGAAACATGAACCTAGCTGATAAGTTAGTAAATGGTGGAGAAGGATTAATTACAATGATCCAAACTTTTGAAGAGATTGTTTTTTCTCAGGGCCAGCTTCCAGATGGGTCGGAGATAGCGGTTAAGAGACTTGCTTCACATTCAGGACAGGGTTTCATGGAGTTTAAAAATGAGGTCCAGCTCATAGCCAAACTCCAACACACGAATTTGGTTAGACTCTTGGGGTGTTGCTCTCAAGAAGAGGAGAAAATACTGGTCTATGAATACTTGCCAAACAAAAGCTTGGATTTCTTCATCTTTGGTATGCATTTGCATTCTTAGTTTACTTCAATTACTCTCTGTCGATATGATGCATCAGAATGACTAAATATTACTCGAGGCTTGTTTTTGGCAGTCCTATGAGTATAGTTTCATGCCCTTGGCAATTTATTTTCATTTATCTGGGTGCCTTTTTCCTGTTATACTAATAACAAATTGATGTGTAGATGAGAATAAAAGAGCTTTGCTGGACTGGACAAAACTTGCAGCAATAATTGAAGGGGTAGCAAATGGACTTCTCTACTTACATAAGCATTCTCGATTGCTTGTCATACATCGAGATCTTAAACCAAGCAACATTCTCTTGGACAGTGAAATGAACCCAAAAATTTCAGATTTCGGGCTAGCAAAAATATTCAGCTCAAATGACACCGAAGGAGACATTACAAGAAGAGTGGTTGGCACATAGTACGTTTCTTAAAAAAACTCCAATTTCAATTACATATGTTACATTTCAACAAGATAAGGTAATCTTGACATTTATCATATACCATTTTAGTGGCTACATGGCCCCTGAGTATGCTTTGAAAGGAAACTTCTCTATTAAATCCGACGTCTTCAGCTTTGGTGTTGTCATTCTTGAGATCCTAAGCGGGAAACGGAATTCTGGTACCCAACAATGTGGAGGTTTCATCAATCTGCTTGGATATGTAAGATTATACACACAAACTTAAGCTTGCAAAATTATCTCTTACTTCTAATTTTCTGTACAACCTAATAATGCGTGTGACGGAATTGCAAACAGGCATGGCAATTATGGGAAGAGGGAAAGTGGATTGACCTTGTTGATGTATCATTGGTTTCTGATAGTCACTCAACAAAGATAATGAGGTGCATTAACATAGCATTGTTGTGCGTACAAGAGAATGCAGTTGATCGACCAACCATGGGAGATATTGTGTCAATGCTAAGAAATGAGACTATGATCTTGACTGAGCCTAAGCAGCCAGCATATATCAATGTAAGAGTAGGAAATGAAGAGACGTCCATTGCTCCTGAGTCATATAGTATCAATGATGTGAGCATATCAATCACAAGTCCTAGGTAGTGTTTTTCGTTGTGTCATGGTCTTGTACTATTCATTTGTAGTACATTCACACCAACATAAATGATGTATAATGTGTAAGTTTCGGTGGTGTCTCAAGTGTGTGGTTTATGTGGCCCAAAAAGTATAAGAGAAAGGCTTCGAAGCTACTTGGAGCAGCCTTTCCCGTTCTTATTTTCTTCTTAATTAGCAACTTTTAACTAACTTTAGTTATGTGCATGAGGTGTTTTCCACCTTTGTTGTCACACATACTAAAACACTGCCAAATCCGGTTGATTCTGTTAAGTTGTTCCATACATAATGATTCGTTATCTACGGACAAAATGAGAACTACAATGTTTAGCTATAAAAACACTACAAACTGAAATGTCTAAATGGTTGATACCAAATGAGAGGAGGTGGTTTTGGTGCTTGATGAAGGCTTCAATTTATCTATGACAGAATACAGATTGCGTCTATCCAAAAGCTCATGCAATATAGTCGGGGCCTTCAGCTTCTTGTATATAGTCGGGGGCAAGTGCTTTGGCGGGTAGATGAATCCTCTACCGAGGGAAACTCTTTTTGTACCTCGTCCTACGGTTGGTTCTCTTGGTTGGAGGGATTCCAAGTATTGTATGGGTAGATTTTCTTATCTCTTAATTAGAGTCCTTCCCAAGTACGACTAGGTGTGGCCGTGTGGGTTTGTGGAAGCAGGCTCCTTGGACATAGTGATTGCACACTACTTGTAATCAGATTGATTCTATCTCCGGTGGCACTCCGATGCTTGATATGGAGATGCGTCCAGTTAGAACATCTCCAACAAACGCGCTATATAAGCACCGCGCTGAAAAATTAGTAGTTTTTGCACGTGCACTATCACTCCGGGCGTTCCAGCGGAGGCACAAAAATCGCGCGCGGCATAACTAGTTCAGCGCGGGCCGAAACGTTATCATACGCCGTTTATTTGCTGCGCCCGCTCCCACGCGCTGGACACTCGAGCGCCCGCTCGCAACTTTCGCCAACCCCCATCCAGCCGATGGCACCGCCACCGGTCGCGCCACCCCATTTGTTCCGGTGACCGTTCCAGCGCTTCCCCGACGTATCCCCGCGCTGCCGCTACTTTCTCCGTCTCCCTCTAGTCGCCGCCGCCCCTCGCGCGCGGCATTCCTCCGACGAACAGCGCCCGGCCGCCCACTGCCGCTCGCTGCCCGCAAGGTGTTCGACAAAACGCTTGCAAGGTATGTATTGCTTCAACTTCACATTTTTTACATGAATTTGGTGCATGTTGTTTATAGTTTTTATTGCCAAGTTTAAATTGAACATTGTAGATGAGTTCGTCATATGATTCTTCCGAAGAAGATTTGATATTGAAGAGGAGGAGGATCTTGCAATGATCCTAGCTATGCACATCAATAAAAAACCGAAGCACGGTGGTTAGGTTATGGGTTGGCATAAAATTTGGAAGGATAGGATCGATGTCCACAACAGATTGATCAGGCACTATTTTGCGGATCCTCCCGTGTACCCCGAGTCGTACTTCCGGCGCCGGTTTAGAATGAGCACCGAGTTGTTCGGGCGCATTGCCGAGAAACTAGCGAGCCATGAGCGGTTTTTTCAGCAAAGGAAGAATGCCGCCGGAGAGCTCGGGCATAGCACCTTTCAGAAGGTGACAGCCGCTTTGCGTATGTTGGCATACGGTATCCCCGCTTTCGGATCTTCGGCATTCGCAGTCGGAATTGTGCAAGTGTTTGGCCAGGAGTATTTGAGATCTCCCAATGCCGAAGATGCCGCAAGGCCATTGAAGATGAACAAAGCTCGCAGCTTCTCAGGTATGCTTGGCTCAATAGATTGCATGCATTGGAGTTGGAAGAATTGTCCTATAGCATGGCATGGCCAATTCCATAGCCAAAAAAGGGTTCCACTATAAACCTTGAAGCGGTGGACGATCAATAGACTTGGATTTGGCATGCTTTTTTTTGGAATGCCTGGATCTTTGAATGACATCAATGTTATTAATCGGTCACCACTAATGTCTAAGATTGCAAGTGGTGAACTGCTACTGGTGCAGTTTGTAGCAAATGCTCGTACATACAACTATGGCTACTATCTTGTGGATGGCATCTACCCAAAGTGGTAAACATTTATGAAGCCGTTGAAAAGACCGGAAGGTAAGAAAAATGTTGATTTTCACAATGCTCATCCATCGGCTAGAAAAGATGTGGAGAGAGTTTTGGGATTTTGCAAGTCCAATTTGCTATTGTGAGAAGACCAGCTAGATTTTGGGATTAAAAGATGCTTTGGTACATCATGCACGCTTCTGTGGTCATGCACAATATATCATTGAGAATGAGCGCCGCCAAGATGTAGACTACTCTCACTATGAGCTCTTGGGACATCCCGTGCGAGTGCGGCGGAGGGCTGCCAGGGTGGCCCGTTTTGTTGCCTCATATCATGCCATTCGACGTGCCGAAACGCATGATGATCTTCAGAAGGATCTCGTCGAGGAGTGGTGGGCATGTAATGACCGACAAAGAGCATCATGATTTGTGTGTTTGATGTTGTATTGTTGAACTATTTGTTGTATTGAAAGATAAACTATTTGTTTGAGTTGTAATAACGAAATTAAACTATTTATTGCTGATTTATTTTGTTTATGTTTGATTTTTTTAGTTGTGTTTGAAGTGCATATGTTGTTTGTGCGAGAGCGCGCGCAGTATTTTTGCAGCGCCTGCTGGAGCTAGACACGCGCGCTAATTTTACAGCGTCCGCTGGAGTCAGCGCTCCGCGCCGCGCAAAAACAGGCGATCGACACGCTGCAAATGTTTTTTTCGTGCCGCGTGTTGGGCGGCTATTGGACAAACAAGGAGTGGCGTGAAAGCGAAGGGGGTTATGTAATGGGGTCAGGGTGTGCTCTGACCATTTGGACGATGTCGGAAATTGATTATCCCAAGGAATGAGCTCGAATCAGGCATTCCGACCTGTTTCTTGTGCATTTTCTTTTTGTTCTCTTCTAATTTTGGACGTGTGATTCTGTTCTAGTTCTTAATCTATAACTATTTTGTTGAAAGAAAAATCTTCTACATATTATATTCGTGCTGGCCGGCAGCTGCTAGACTGAGTATGTAAGTGAAAGTGAACTGAACAATTTGAAGTCAACAAATTAACTGGGGTGACGCCGAGATTGATCGTTCAAATTGGTTGGAAAGCAACAGGCTGGCCGGCCGCTGCATAAAATTTATTTCATTCTTACAAGTCATCCACCATGCGACATGGAAAGCATGTGATTGCCGGCCGTGCTAAACACATACGTTAGGTGAAAGTGAACGTCTTGACCTGAATAATTAGTTATCTCACACTCAATAAGTTGTTCTTCACCTGAATAACCCGTGCGTTAGGTGCCAAACACGTAGTAACATATTCAGTAATTTGTTCTTGACTCTTCGAAAGGAAGACTTGCTCAACCGAAAGCAACGACTAAAAAGCGGTTAGTTAATTTGGAGTTTTGAGGGGTGGCATATTTCTATGTGTGATGACAAAGGCGGGTGACCTTTTCCACTAAAATCCAATGGGTGTAAATTTCTAATTCACGGGACAGACGGCCAGATGTCTTATTTTTCTGCAATATTTTCCAATATGTCTTTTTTTTCATGTTATTCTGGTTAGTCCATCATACACATTTAGTATAATACAATAGAATATTTTTGGGGTGCGGTTCCAATCCTTTTTTTTTTTGAACCGGACTATCCCCATTTGCATTTATCACGAAAATGACGAGTTCTTAGAGACCAGAGGAGACGGGAAAGAGAGAAATAGTTTGAGACACTAATTGTAAACCCACTGTGACCTTGTTGTGGTCCCGCAACAAATGTGTTTCTTCTCAGCGACTTGTTGAAGGCGTCTCGTAGTACACTTTTGATGCTTGTTAGGCTTGTTTTGTTGTGTGTTTATTTTTAATTCTTTTTTGCGGAAAGTCCAAAGGCCATATATGGTCATATATTAAGTACTATTTAGAAATACACCCTTACAAAAAATGGAAAATACATTCAGATTTTATAGGGTTGTTGAAGTCTTTTTCCTTCTGCATCCATTGACTATTTCATCAGCCTGTATGAAAAGTCCCTCGACATTATATTGTATCTTTCGGTTGTGTCATGTAATTTATGAAACGGAGTAAAACCATGTTTTGAAAAAAAAAACAAATCAAGACACTAATTGGAAGCCCGCTGCTAAGGGCATCTCCAACGCCGACCCGCAAATTCCTCTGGTATATGTCCGGACGTGGTCCGCGGACATGATACCGGAGGGAGCCATCCAACGCAAGTTACAAAGTATTCGGCTGAGAGGCGAAAAGGTAGATGGGGACCATATATGTGGTGGGATATTTATGGTTTAGTGTCCGATTGGGAGGAGAGGGAGAAGAGGGGGACAATGCATGTGCGGTAGGAGAGAGAGAAGAGAGAGACATGCATGTGATTGGTCAAGTACATGTCCGGACTCCAGCAAAACTCCTCCATGTTTGTGTCCAAAATACCAGAATTTTGACGTCTGGACAACTTCGAAGACTGATAAAGGTCCCCATTAAATTGCAAAAGTGAACAAATGTGTCCAGTCAGACAAATACCAGTATTTTGCAGGTCTCCCTTGGAGATGCCCTAAAATATCTGAAACACAAGTACCTATTTTTTAAAAGGAAAATCCACCATAGCGACTATTAATTTTCGAACATACTTACGTTGTCCAAAAGGCTACATGCAATGAATGACGGAGGATCTCCCGTACAGACACAAGTCTGGGATCCCTTCTACATGGGGAGCTAACAAATGAGCTACAATATTCATCTCCCTCAGACGGTCTTCTATGATTACATGAGAGAAATTCCTAGTCAAGAACACACACTCTTCGTATATTGCTGAAACTTCTGTCGCTGAAAAACCTCCATCATGCATAGTTTGAACAACTTCCCGGCAGTCTGAGTTGATAATTATCTTCTCGCTCCAACTTGACATGCCACGATGAGCCCGTCTTTCAACGCTTGAGTTTCCGCAGTAGCAACCGAGTTTACATGTTCAGTTCTACTGTTACCCGGAGCCACAAATTGCCCATGGTCATATTTGATCACAGCTCTAGTAGCCCCCTTCTCGTCCTGGAGACAGAAAGCAGCATCGATATTCATTTTAACATAGCCCTGAGGAGGTTTCGACCAACTTTGTTTCTTGATGCACTTCTTCCTATCCACAACCTTCATGTGGTTTGCAGTCAAACACATGTGTACGTAGTTTTTAACCTAGAATGATGAGTGAGGTGAAGAGTTTTAAGTCAGAGAGATTGACTGAGTGTTTGATCTTTCAAACACTGCATAGACCTTCTTTCCAACCAACCTCAGTGAACGCCGAGAAGACCTGACCTTCACTTTCTCTGCATTTTGCCATGTTAAAGCAACGAGAAACAGAGGGGCAATTAGGACAAGCACATACGGTCAGCATGGCGGGCGTGCTGCTGCTCGTGCTGCTCGTTCTCATGCCAGCGTCGGCCACGGCGATCGGCCACGTCTGCGGCAGCGGCGGCAACTACACGGCCAACAGCACCTACCAGTCCAACCTCGCCGTGCTCAACGCCACCCTCCCCGGCAACGCCTCCTCCTCCCCGCAGCTCTTCCTCACCGCCACCGCCAACGCAAACACAAATAACGGGACCGCCGGCATGGTGCGCGGGCTCGCGCTCTGCCGCCATGACACCACAAACCTCACCGCGTGCAGGGAGTGCGTCGCCTCCTCGTTCGCGTACGCGCACAAGATGTGCCCCAACCACACGGCCGCCACCGTCTACTACGACTACGACGAGACCAACGCCTTAAAACCAGGGTGCCTCCTCGGCTTCTCCGGCGACCGCAACTTCCTCAACCCGGCGTCCGGCACCACCGGTAACGGCACCTTCTTCCAGTATTTCAACGCGGTAAACATCGCCGGCAACGCCGGCATCGTCGCTGCGGCCGTCCGCCAGCTCCTCTCCCAGACGGCCCGGGACGCGGCCGCCGCGGCCAGGAGGTTCGCGACAGGGTTCATGGACGGCGGCACCACGACAACACTCTACGCCCTGGCGCAGTGCACGCCGGACCTGTCCGCCGGGGACTGCCGGGCGTGCCTCCAGCGGCTCGTGGGCTCGATCAACGCCACCAACTCCGTGCGCCTCGGTGGACGGATCTTCCGGCTCCGCTGCAACGTCAGGTTCGAGGCCTTCATGTTCTTCGAGGACAAGAACATGCGGCGGATTCCATCTCCGTCATCCATGGCTCCGGCGCCGGCGCCAGCGTCGGCAAGCAAGAGCATGTGATGAACAATCCTTGATTAATTAACCGACATGTTATTACTATATATGACTTGTATGATGATTCCTTGACACTGGAAAAAACGTATGCTAATTTTGAAGGACATGGAGTCAAACCTTGGGTAATTGCTTTATCGGTGGCTGCTTCTGTGGCACTAGTTGCACTCTGTTTCATCGTCTACTGTCTTCGGCGGCTTAGAAAAAAGAACACAAAAGGTGGGTAAATTAGTTACTGAAATGATACTCTCTCCGTTCCTAAATATAAGTCTTTGTGGAGATTCCACTATGAACCACATACGGATGTATATAGATGCATTTTAGAGTATAGATTCACTCATTTTGCTCCGTATGTAGTTCATAGTGAAATCTCTACAAAGACTTATATTTAGAAACAGAGGAAGTATAATTGAAGAAATCGATACTGAGTGCGCCATAATTTTCAGGTACACAGGGAAAACGTACTCATGAGTTTCAAGAAGGAGATGAACAAGTTTGGGAAATGGAAACAGAGTTGGCCGACTTTTCAGTATTTGACTTTAATCAGATATTGGAGGCTACCGATAACTTTTCCGAGGAAAACAAACTTGGCGAAGGTGGATTTGGCCCTGTTTATAAGGTATAAATAATCCTTGTTTTCTATGCAAGACAACATGCATCACCAATAATATTGTCAGATTATATATAGGAATTAGAAACAATGGATAAGAGGAAGAATGTTAATCCTCGTAAAGCCCCAAATTATAGCACAATACTGATAGATGTTTTTTTCCCTAGGGTTGCTTTCCTGATGGAGTGGAGATAGCAGTTAAGAGACTTGATTCGGATTCAGGACAGGGTTTCATAGAGTTCAAAAATGAAGTTGAGCTCATAGCCAAACTGCAACACAGGAATTTGGTTAGGCTCATGGGATGCTGCTCTCAAGGAGAGGAGAAAATACTGGTCTATGAATACTTGCCAAACAAAAGCTTGGACTTCTTTATCTTTGGTACATATTTGCATTTTCAGATTCATATGTCAAATTAAAGTTCTCTCGCCTTTTGATTGTTTCTTTAGATGTTTGTCCACTGTTGTACCAACATTTAATTTCCGTGCAGATGAAGATAGAAAAGCTCTATTGGACTGGGACAAACGTATTGCAATAATTATAGGAACAGCAAAAGGATTACTTTACCTACATAAGCACTCTAGGTTGCGTGTTATACATCGTGATCTTAAACCAAGCAACATTCTTTTGGATAGCGAAATGAATGCTAAAATATCAGATTTTGGATTAGCAAAAATATTCAGCTCAAATAACACTGACACAGATACTACAAGAAAAGTGGTTGGTACATAGTAAGTTTCATATGAATTACTCCACTTATAAACATTTTTTTCCAAGTCACCCGTATAGTAATTTGACATATATTATTACACTATTTTAGTGGCTACATGGCACCTGAGTATGCATCCCACGACATTTTCTCTATCAAATCGGATGTATTCAGCTTTGGTGTTTTAACTCTTGAGATCGTTAGCGGGAAGAGGAATTCCCATGAATGTGGAGCTTTCATCAACCTCCTAGGACATGTGAGTGCATGTTTACACATCCATTTAACTGAAAAAGGCTTTGTTTGTTCTGTGATTAACTACTTAAGTATTTGATGAAATTTCAAATAGGCTTGGCAATTATTTGAAGAGGAAAGCTGGAGCGAACTCATTGATGCAGCATTGGTTCCCAACATTTATTCAACAGAAATGATGAGGTGCATTAACATTGCACTGTTGTGTGTACAAGAGAATGCAGTTGATCGACCAACCATGTTGGATGTAATTGCAATGCTAAGCAACAAGACCATGATCTTACAAAAGCCTAAGCACCCAGCATATTTCAGCTTAAGCACTGCAGGGAACAAAGAAGCACCCACTACTACTCAGTCTTGTAGTGTTAATGATGTGACTATATCTACGGTGACACCTAGATAGTTTTCCACTATATGGACGTTGTGTTAATTTAGATGTTCAGTAGTGTGTAAGTTCTAAATAATAAATGAATCGCGCAACTTCTTCTCTATATATTACAAATGTAATGTGTTTTGTACAATGGATGTAGCCAATCAAAATCAAAACTGTAGTTCTGTTAATTTGTGTTTATATCTTTTAATATCCTACCAATGGTTGTAGGCGATCAAACTACCAATAGTTGTATGGTATCAGACGAACTCTCCACCATCCAGATCACGTCCTCTCTTTCTTAACCATGTAGCTTGGAAAAAACAAGGTAGGCACTCCCAGAGTCTTTATAGTCCTGAAATTAAGTTGATGTACACCTTTTAGAAACCGAACCATCTCCGAGTGTCTTCCGTGGTTTTGAGAAGGAAGTGGTTTGACCGAAGGGGTGCTGGGAAAAATATAGAAATCAAATAAAGAAAAAATAGGAGAGAAGAAAGGAAAAAATAGAACACAAAGGTATCGAAAATCTTTGCTGAGTGTCAAAGGCCAGTGCTAGGCATCATCCCGGGTGATGTTTGCAAAATTTAATTTGCCTCCGCAACCTTGCGATGGAGATTATCCAACGATCATAATTTCCCGCTTACGGACACATTACACGGGGTGGCATGGGTTGAGCCACCCGCTTTCTGCATGCACACACATACGCGTCAACTCACTGCATGCAATCCAAAAAAAAGTAGTGCACACCGACCATTCGATGGTCACGCATATAGACTCCATGAATGCACATGTATTCCTGTTTCTACATGAAAGTGTTAAGTTGTCACCTTAGTTGTTGCTGTCATAGTATCACCATTAGTCATTCACGTGCAACACCCCCGCCAGTTGTCCTCCCTGCCCATTGCAACAATTGGTGAGAAGACCTGACAGCGCAACACCAGTTAACATTACGAGCCTCCGATCCTGGTTGCATTGCCGCCGCGGTTGCACATCATGGTTGTCGTTCGAGGTTGCAACATGGTCACTGTTGCGGTCACTGCCCCCATTGGGGCATCACCCAACAACCCTCGCATCACCACTCACACACCCGACAGACAAGCCTCGTGGCACTCCAGCGTGTGGTTGTCTCATGACATGGACCACTTGCAGCAATGGCAATTAGTGTCGTATGTTGCAGTAGTGGTGGTAGGCAATTGCAGCATCATGCATACCGATTGCAGAACAATCAATCCTTGTAGCATCTTGTGTCTTGGCTTGCAGCAATGGTGCCCGACCATGCGAAATTGCGTGTTCGTCTTGTAGCAGTGGTGGCCACCCGTTGCAACATCAGGTTTGTCATCTTGCTACCATGGTGGGCATCCCTTGCAAAGTATCGCATCTCGACTTGCAGCAGTGGCGGTCACTCCTTTGCAGTTTCAAGCATCCCGACTTGCAACAACGACGATGGGCTTTGCACTAATGATGACAATCTTTGCAGCGTCGGCTCCATTGCAACGTGAACCATGTTGCAGTAACCCATTGCAACATCATCTCCAGCTTGCATGGCATTGCAAACACGTGGACTTTTGATCACCCATTGCAAAAAGGACCAGGTTGCGGTCATCGATTACAATATGGCCACGACTAACTTTACTATGCAATAAATCTTCATTCTTTGCTAGCAAAAATACCTAGAAAAAGAACAAGGCATGTTTTAGCATGGAAGCAAAAACGTATAATACAAAAAAAGAGTTCTAGTACCAAGCAAAGTTACATCAAAGACCATTGTCATCTGTATAATACAAGCGTATAACGACACACCCCTAGCTGCAGATTGCGAGACAGATCAGAGCTGCCCACGAAAAAAAATGAGAAACACAGAGTAGAGCAGTGGTGCATGGACATGCACGAGGCAAAAGAATTGCAGCGGTAGGAGTGAGTCTAGGTGTAGCTACATGTGGCTAACAACAGAAAAGGAGGTTGCGTGCGAGGGTAAGAAAGGATTAGCAGGGTAGAGGCGTGGCATCATGCCGCGCTTGAGCTTTAGCCCATCGTTGATCTGTTGTTGCTCGAGTCTGTTACCATAGTATATTGTGGTAACTTTTGTGTAAATTTCTGGTGAGCAGGTATACGCTTATGGTAAGATTGCATGTTTGTATGAGAATGGTACAATAGATAATCTGGATTGTTTAATTAGATTACATAGCTAGATGCATACATATGTGTATGAACAGAGAAATACAACAGGGTAAACACTCGATTATGGTAATATATCACATAGCTGGACGGCATACATGCACGAACAAAGAGGACAATTCAATAAATTATATTGTATTTCATTAGTACTGTAAACGATCTGCTTTTGATCTTCATTTCTTGTCATCAATTTTGTTCATGTTTTAAAAAATCGTTTGCAATCAAAAAAATATTTGCATTTAAAAAAATTTAGAGTTTCAAAAAATAGTTGACAATTTCAATAAATATTCAAAAATATAAATATTGAAAAAATTAAATCCACAAACATTTTTTTAGTTCGTGACTACTTTTTGAATTTATGAACATTTTTTAAAATCCACAACATTTTGTCTAATCCGCAAACATTTTTAAATTCACGAACATTTTTTGAATCCAGAGATTTAAAAAAAATCAAGAACAAATTTTGAATTCGCAAAAAAAGAAATCAACCCATGAACAATTTTGAAATTCGCAAACATTTTTTGCAATGCACAAATATTTTTTGAATTCATGATTTTTTTTTCAAATTCATGATGTTTTTTTGGAAACGCAAACAATTTTCAAATTCATGATACATTTTTAGTTCTCGGATATTTTTAAAAGGCATAAAAAAATTCTGGACAATTTGTAGTTTTTTTTTGTTGTAGGAAAAAACACAGAAGGAAAAACTCCACAACTCAAACCTACGCTACAGTATAGGGGCTAACGATCGAATGTACTGGGCCGGTCCACCCAACGTGAGGGATCGCTCCCTTAACGCTCGCACCAGGCGCGCTATAGCATCTCCCACAAAACATTAGTCAACATTGTTATGCTTAACCTCGGTTAGTTCATGTCATGAGAGAAGAGAGTTAAATAAAGAGGTGCATAACAAGTCTCGTTTTTCTCTCCATTATGTAAACGGCCGCCGCTTGGGTATTATGTCGCCGCCCACTAACCTTGGTATTCCAGTCATCTTGAATGTTTAATAAATGGCAGTAATTCAAACATAAGAAATCATAAAACACTATAAAATGAAATGATAACACACTACTAGGAAAAGGGTTATAGATGAAATTACCACTAATGACGCATCAGACATGTGATGCGTCATTACTATATACTAATGGCGCATCATGTGTTGGTGCGCCATTAGTAATTTTTTTAAAATTTCATCAAAACTACTAATGGCGCACTGTGGGAGTGGTGCGCCATTACTAGTTCAACCGAATGCACACCTCCTCCCCCGGACCGCCTTTTCAGTTTTTAAAAAAATAAACAAAAATGATGGAAATGTCAAAAAAATAAAAGAAAATAAGTTTTCCATGTGATATGTGGTCTAGTTGTTGTGAAAATTTACAAATATGAATTTTGACTTTATTTGCGAAATCTCTCGAGAATTTGTTAACTGGTCATAACTTTTGCGTACGAACTCGGATGAAAAAGTTTTTTATATGAAAAATCATCTACTCGAAAAGTTACATCCGAATTTAACAGGGGGAATTAAACATTTTCAAAATCCTCAAAAACCTAACAGAAAAAAGATACGGGGCTTTTAAGATCTGGAGAGGCAAAAAAATTCAAAAAAAATCAAACTTACTAATGGCGCACCTACCCATGGTGCGCCATTACTATCTTCCCGCCTTCAAAATTTAAAATAAGTCAAAAAATAAATAAAAATAAAAGTTAGTAATGGCGCACCTGCCCATGGTGCGCCATTAGTATCTTCCCGCCTTCAAAATTCAAAATAAATAAAAAAAATAAAAAAAAGTTAGTAATGGCGCATCTGCCCGCGGTGCGCCATTACTATGCCATATATATGGCTGGGCGTGGTCCTCTCCTCCTTCATTTTTCTCCTCCACTCCATCTCCTCCTCTCCTCCACTCCATCTTCCCTTCTCTCCTCCACCATACTACCCTCCTCATCTCCGGCGACCTCCTCCTCCTCCTCTCCGGCAACCTCCTCCTCCCTCC